TTTGTTTGTTTTGTTAGTAGGAATTTTTTTGAGTTTCTTTGGTTTTTTTTCCCTCTTTCTTCTCTTCAGAGATTCAGTGACTTTTTATAGTTAAGAACAGGGATTAATGTCATAGAATCATGGAATGCGTTGAGCTGGACCTTCAAAGGTCATGTAGTCCAGCCCCACTGCAGCAGGCAAGGACATCTTTAACTAGATCAGGTTGCTCAGAGCCCATCAAGCCTGATCTTGAATGGCTCTAGGAATCGAGCCTCCACCACCTTTCTGGGCAACGTTTCACCACCCTGATAGAAAAGAATTTCTTGCTGATGTCCAACGTATATCTACCCTGCTCTAGTTTTAAACTATTGCCCCTCGTCCTATTACTACACTCCCTTGTAAACAATTCCTTCCCAGCTGTCAAACTGATGTCGGATGTCGAACTGATACTGCATCTGGAGGAGTTAGAAACTCACTCATTGATACAATATACCACAGTAGAACATTCTTGCTTCTGATAACGGCAAGCTGTAAATGGTAAAAGCTACTGGCCATTTACATATAATATTTCTGCTCTATAATAAACAATATAGCAGATTATATCTCCCAGTGTCATGGCTTCAGTCCCTGGCAGAACTTGCCCTCAAAACTGGATTTATTTTGTTAAGGGAGGAAAAATGAGGTGATAAATGCATCATTTAACTCCTAGACTTATATTTTCTGTTTCCATAGGAATGTCATGGAGTTTAGGCTCTGAGGGTGATGCTGCCCTGTGCATCTGAGAACACTCCACACACACCACACTGATGTTTGCCTCTTCCATCTTGGCTACAGACAGGTTATGAACAGAGATTTTCAGGGAATTACCTGTCAAGGAGCTCTGCTCCAGGTACTCGTCTGGAGGCCTAAGGCTCTTCTTTTTTTTTTTTTTCCGCCCTCAATAAGAATGCAATAGTTTTGCCTTTAGAAAATAAGAAATGTTTTAAAAAAACTTGTACATAATATTTTTCTTATCAAATAATAATTTAAATTGTACTTCATCGTGTAATATGTGAAGTGTTTTTCACATAAATATTCAGGTTTTGAGAGAAAATAAAGATTCAAATGTGTTAGTTATAGTCGATTTTTTTTTCATAATTTTGAAGAAATATGCATCATCAGTGAATTGACTGTTTCTGGGCAAGACAACTGTTTCTTAATTCTATAAAATTTTGCATTTGGCTGTTTTATTACAATATAGGCATGTGATAGAAGTTGTAAGTGGGATAGAAAAATATTGTGTGGAAGATTAAGAAATAATTCTTAGGAAATTCCTCTGGCGAAATTAGTGTTATCACCTATGATGATGATGATGATGATATAACAACAATGTATTAATAATTATAATAAAAATAATGATTTGACTATCATAGCTAATAAATGAAAGGAAATTTAAAAAAAATTAAAGGCAGATGAACTGTTAGTATCAACAAAATAATACAGTAATGCCTCTCTTGATTTCAAAATGCCATCTCCCTTAAGGTAGAGGTTCCCTTTTCTACTATTGAACTCTAATTAAAAATTATAAGCATGTTTATTATAGCTACTTGCTTTCTGTATATAGGTATCTACAGTAATACTGGAATTAATTGAAAAAAAACTCTTGAAATATTGTAGAATTTGAATGTGCTGTGTTGATTGGCAATGGTTTTAAACTAGAGCAGGGTAGATTTAAATTAAGCATTAGGAAGATTTTTTTTTTTACCATAGTAAATGCGGTTCTTTAGTTCTTCACCGTAGTATGTTCTTTACCATAATAAAAGGATGGGGGCCTCATCCCTGGAGACATTCAAAGTCAGGCTTGATGAGGCTTCGAGCAACCTGATCTAGTTAAAGATGTCCCTGCTCACTGCAGGAGGGGTTGGACTAAATAACCTTTAAAGGTGCCTTCCAGCCCAATACATTCTATGATTCTATGAATCATCATACGAAGGTTACCATTTTTCACAGAGGGAACAAGCTGATCAGCACAAGCTTATTTCATGATCATCAGTCATGACTTTCCTAAATTAAATAGTGACTTTGGAAAACAGAGATAGTTACCCCTTTAGAAATGGAGTATCAAAATATTTACCTGCCTTTTGAGATGTTTGTATAGTCAATTCAATAAAGAAGAACAATACTTGTTCTATCAGTTGTCTACCAGAAGTTTTGAGTCATTCAGTATCCAAATAGGTATGTCTCAGGAAGTGTGTATGATAGTGTCACTGAAGAACCATCTCATATAACATAGGAGCTGAAATGCTTCTGATGAAGCACTAGATTTTTAAAACCATAGTTAATAACACAATATTCAACTTAACTTAATTCATACATTTCCTTTTCCTTGTGTCAGATACTGCATGCAGTTTGAAAATCATGAGTCAGTCTCATTTGTGCATGTCTAGTGGGCAGTGTCACTTGAGTTTTGAGTCACAGAATATTACTTCTGGAAATGAAAAGAATCAGGATTTTCTTGATCTTAATGTAAAATTCACACAAAATTGAGCCATCGAGTTTAATTATAGGACAACAAAGCTTTCCTTCCTGAAGATAGATATTGACATGCCTCTCTGATGCTTGCATTTTTGAAAAAGAAATAAAAATTGTGTTAATTACATAGTATTGCTTTGTAGTATACTTAAAAATTGAAAGATGAAAAACCTAGAGATTTTTCATGCTTTGGCAGCAGAGTGGCATGATCTCCAATTCCTATATAACTTCTTATATGTTGCAATTCTTACAAATGTAGAATTTTAACTTATTAAATCCTCAGCTCTTCAGCCTCTAACCTAAAGGCAGTTACACAAGAGAGAAGAGTATACAGTGCCATCACGTTAATGTGTGACTTTTTTTATGTAAGTGTCCACATGAGTTGTGAGACACCGAAGTGAAGTGGCTTTCTATTAATATTAGAGCTGTTTAGTACATGGGTTAGCCAAGAAAGTTCTAAGTTCTGGACCCCCATCACACGTCTAAATTTTTAAAAGAGTATTTGATAACTTGAACAATGATGAGCCTTTGGTTAACCTGAAAAATGAGATTTTTTTTCCCCTTGGATTGAAATGAACATGGATGGCCACATAATTTATTTTTTTCTTGTTGAAATTTATTCAATTACTTTGGTTTTAGTTCGTGTTACGGTAAAAAGGAAGTTACTGAAATCATGCATTATTTTTCTTGCAATATGAAATACCAGAGGCAATAAAAAATAGGAGAAAATGTATTTTTCACGGTGTCAAGTTGAAAGGGTTGAAAGTACTTCTCTACTAATACTAATTTTATTTACTTCTTTTTGCATCAAGTAGATTTATTCCAAAATTGTATGACAAAGCTTTACTTAAATTAAACAAATTTTTTCTTTAAAGACTGTGTACTCTGTATTTACCAGTGTATTTGCTCATACCAGATTTAATATCATTAGGATTTTCTTCTTTGTTTTATAAATTATTAACTTATAAAATTTATTTTGTATTGCAATCACACTTTTTTTTTAGATATTTCATACACCATGATATACTCTCTTCTTAGTCTCACAGGTTATTGAGTGAGTTTGTATTTTCTGCACTGGTGTTAATTTTAGAAATGTTGATCACTTTTCAAGAACAAAGCTGAAATTTCTTCATGATTCAAACAGTAGCTATAAATGTGAAAAAACACTTTTTTGTTCCTCAGATTTCTCATATTGATTGAATTTTCTCATACATATGCATTCATGCACAATATGTGTGTTTGCATGTATTCGTGGTGGATTTTGATTCTAAACACGTTATAAATTTATCTTGAAGAAAGAAAAAAACACACACTCTAACCCCAAACAAAAATTTCTGAGGCATTTCTGAAACTGTTTCCTCTAAATTTACTCCTTTAAATATTTTTTACGTTGGGTTGTTTTAGGAAATGCTAAGGCTTGGCAAGCCTTGTGGAATAGTTTATCAACAGGAGCAATTTCTCCTGTGCTGTACAGTTAAACGCAAAAAAAAAAGTCAGCAAATATTTGTGGATCTAGATAATTCATAATATTTCAGGTGACATACTGCATTTACTTAAGGTCTGTCTTTAACTGTTACACGGTGTTGTACTCTCTACTTCTGCCACATGTTATAGTCTTTTCCAGTTGTTGCTTCTGTTCCTTGGCAGGAAAAGCAGTTTCAGAATTGGCATAATAGTGCTCTGTTTTTTTCATTTTTTAAAAAAAATTTTTCCCCCCTTCTCTTTCTCTCTTCTGTATTTAAAGAGATGTATTGAAGTATAGAACTATTTATTATTCTGGCTTTGAATTTCTGCAGTTGTTCTCTTGTTTGCAAGAGAAATGTAGCAAAAATTATTTTAACACTGTTTTAAAAAAATGAAATTAACTAATGCGTTTGGACTACAATTAATGCAAATAATTCAGAGACTGAAATGAGAGAGATTACTAATGTCAGTTTGATCTGGAAAGCATGTTTTCATTGATGTGAAGGAAGAAGCTCCGTAAAAACTGGTTTACTAGAAAAAGAAATCTTATACCTTAATCTTATATTCTGAATGCAGAATTCACATTGTTACCCATTTCAGACTTAGACCTGTATGTTTTACACTCTGAGCTCTGTTTGTATTTTTCTTTTCTGACAGTGAACTCACATGAATGACTCTTTGAGCAGTGCTGCCATCGCAGTTCAGACAAAGGTGCTGTGACTACTCTGCCGCATTGCCTTTCACTGTCAAATAACTTCCCAAGTCTGACTCAGGCTATACTGTCATGTTTATTACAGTCTTACCTCTGAAATTAATTTTCATTTTAAATACTTCCCTTCTTACAGGGTGATACTTGTCAGTCAATTTAATTGAAATGTCATGCTGACCTTTATCTGAAATGCTCTGAACTTCCTGTGGTTGATGGAAGTTCTTTTTGCTTTGATTTCAATTAAAATCCTTAAATTACCAGTGTACAAAACCTGCATGCTAATTAACCTTATGAAACTGCCTGCTAATTAATCTTGCAAACAATATATCTTTTGCAGAGGTAGTTCAGCTGAGCCTGCCTGAAGATCAAAAACTAAGCATTACTGTGGCAACAGTGGGACAAAGTGCTGTCTTAAGTTGTGCAGTCCAGGGAACTCTGAGACCTCCCATCATCTGGAAGAGGAACAACGTCATTCTGAATAGCTTGGATTTGGAAGATATCAATGTAAGTAGGAGAAAGCTCTATTTAACATCTTATTGTCAAAACATTGTGTAATTAAATACTCCTGATATTTGAAAGAAAAGAAATGAGAATATGTGTGAAAAACTCAATCTGTTTTTATTTTGCTGGATATTCAAACCCTTGTTGTTAAATATAGAGAAAACATGTTTCAAAGACCAATCATTTAAAAGAATAAATATAGCAACAAAAGCATGTGAGGACAAAATCACAGTGTAAAAGCACATGAGCCCAAAATACAGTCAGTGGTATACATTCAGGATTATAGAGGCAGCAGGAAACAAAGAAGAAATCTGTGAATTGAATATTTTAAGGAATGCATAGTGATTGAGTATGAACAGATCCTAATAATAACCTTATACTTTCATAGATGAATAAAAATGTGGTTTTTGACAATATAGATATTTTACTACAAAATTGGTTGATTTGCTCATTCATCCAAATATTCTGAAGTTTATATGGCACTTCTCAAAAAATCACCAATTAATGTTATCATAACTTGAAATATTTTTTAAGAAGGAAAATACTTGCCGTCTGACTTTGTCATGACCTCAAAATGTGGAGCAAACCAGAAAATGACAAACATAATTACATCTTCGGATGACACTCTAAAAATAATCTTTCAGCTGCAGTTTGTATAATTACTCTTCTTTGCCCTTTTTATATTAGCAAAGTTATAAATGTGGACAAATGGTTAGATCAAGAGTCATGCTTCCTCTCTGACTCAAGTAAGTAAAAAATTACTGGAATTGTTACATATGTGGAGTATCACCACAGTCAAATACCTAGCTTGTTTACTTCATTTTGTTATGAATGTTTTTATTTCTAAGGTGGCAATTGTATTTGCACATCACCTTTGTTTTGTTTGATATTTTTACATTAGTTCTATTTGTAAACTGAGCTTCCTCATATCTTTTTAAAATAAGGGGCTGTTTCAAAGCTCATCTTCCTTGAACAGTAGGTTTACATCACTTGAGATGCTTAGGATGAAGGTAACATCCTCTGAAAAGTTCTCAGTTAAATAATTATTGCTTTTGTTAGTTTGGTATTAATCATGTGACTGACGTTCAAAAGCGTCTTGCCCACATTCAGCAGCTCCTTTCTGTGATATTTTTTAGCTTTCTGAAATATTTATGATGCTCAAAAATAACAATTTGGAGATATTAGTGAGCAATTCTAAGTACAATATGAGGCATGCGCTGTAGCAACAAACAGGAACGTGCATCTGGGCACAGATAAATAGAAGGGAAATGATGAATGGAAATAATGAAGCTAAAGTCTCAGTTTCAAATTGAAAGGTTCAGTCGACTGTATTTGCAAGTGTGGAAAGAGCAAATGTTTTCAAAGCCTGATACATACATTTTGAGTATAAAAGTAATAATTAAAACAATCCAACCCAAACCAACAGAGAAACTTCGGGTGCAAGTGCCCAGGTGCTGGCAGTGGATGCTGCAGGGGCATCCTCTAAGGGCCAAGGCTGGGACTGCCCTGTGCCAGAAACAGCCAGTTTCAGGTGGTTCCAACCCACCACCACAGGGCATCACCGGAAAAGCATATTCAAAAAAGGGCATGAAACACTGGAGAGAGGACTAGAGAACGAATGTCAGAGGAAAGTCCAAGGCTGGAGGAGCAGGAGGTGCTCCGTGGTGGAGCAGATATAACCAGCAGCTACACTGGAACAGATTAATCTTGAAGGACTTCACCCCATGGAGAGCCCTGGCTAGAGCAGACAAAAAAGGTGAGAAGAGAAGCAAAGAGAAACTGCTGTGTACTGATTGTACCCCTCAAACCTTACGCACCACTCAGGCAGATAATGGAGTTGAGAGTGAAGGACTGAAGTTAATCCTGCAGAAGAGAGGGGAGAAAAAACTTTTTTTTTTAGTAATCTATGTATTTTTTCCCAATCTATGCATTTTGTTTGTTTTTGTTGGCAGTAAATTAAACTGTTTCTCAAGGCCAAGTCTGTTTAGCCCTCCATGGCAATTAGTAAGCAATCTCCCTGTCTTTCTCACCCCATGAGCTGGGTGGGCATTGGTCTATTAACCAGGGCCAACTCAGCACATTTCTGAAGTACTTATCATGCCTAGAAGAGTTGAGTACAGCAATTTTAAAGACTCATGGCATGCCCAGTTTGAAGTCAGATTACAGTGGCGATCAGACATTCAAAGCTGCAATTGCTAGAAGTGGCTAGGTTTGGTTTTATTTACTAGGAGAGGAGGAATATGTGACAGCATACTGAATTGAAAAACCACATAAACATAAAATAACATAAAAATAAAGGTCTGCAAAGTGTTGTCTGAGTACTGGAATGATGTCTGTACATAATTTTGTGTACCGGTACAGTAAGACCTGTAAAGCGAGTGTGAGTTTCCAGTGACAGCAGGACATAATTCTGAAGATTAATGTATTCATAATTTATTTGTTAGCTTAAGAAAAATGTAAACAAACTGGAATATTTGGAGGTCTTTTTAAGCAAAAATTATTCCTTAACTCCTTAATATTAACCTTTCTAAGTCCTTTAATATTATTAGTCATGATTCAAATATAGAAAGAGAATGACAGATCCAGTATCCATGGAGGGAGGCACTAAAATTGATATCACCTATGTATATACCTGATATTAGTCTAATATATCTTTGTAGTTAAGCTAACAGTGCATAAAAGAAAGAGTCTAAATACAAAAGAAAAAGAATGGACATAAAGATATTGATGAGCTAAATTGGTCCCTAGAGTACCTTTCCTTCAAAATTTATTTTACATATTTCACTGTTTGCACTGACTTGATTCCTCTAAGTTTATTTCTAGATCTTCCTTTGGTGTGTATTTTGTTGCTTGTTTGTTTTTTGTTTTATTCCATATTTGTTTGGTCATTCCATACCTTTCTCAGTCTTGTTCATAATTTATTCCCTGTTTGGTTCTTTTGATTTCACATTTGCTTAAAGATTGTTATGTAGCCATAATTTATTATCCATTCAGGCAACGTAATAAAAATAAAACCTTGGGGGAAAGAAAAATAAAGAGCATAGTGTTTTATATTTCACTATGGGAAATTAATTTAGTGCGTAAATAAATATTAATTTCAAAGGAACAAATGCAGAGGGAAACATAGTATGCTCAAGTTTATGTAGTAATTTAACCACCGAAGAATGTGTTATACTTACTCAGGCAATTTTAAACATTCAAACCCTCTAAGTCTATGTATAATTTAATATGTCCCCAGAAACAATGTATTCTAGGCTTTACAATGGCTATATTAGGAACTACAATCATGTTTGCCTAACTGTGGGAGTTATTAATTTAATCAGTTATACAAGAACCACGTCCATGCATCTCAAGAATAATAATGTGTAAATAGTAGACACTTTCTGAAAAAAACATGACAAGCACTGACCTGGGAAGATGGATATGTATTTTTTTTTAAGCAAAATACATCAGAGATCATCATAACTCTAAGTCAACACACACAGAGGACGCTATCAGAATAAGCAGTTGTGACAATGTGGTTTTGTAAATTATAGCGAATACTTAGACATTAAACTTTCACACTATGTAATTCTCAATGTGAGTTAAGCTATTTGATTCTGGGAGAGACAAACTTGGAACAATATAATGTCCTTCTGTTTTGTCCTAGTGTTGATGCAGCCCACGATACAGTTTGTTGGCCTTCCAGGCTGCGAGTGCACATTGCTGGCTCACGTTCAGTTTTTTGTCCACCAATACCCCCAAGCCCTTATCCTCAGGGCTGCTCTCAATCCCTTTATCCCTGAGTCTATACTGATACTTGGGATTGCTCCAGCTGCTGTGCAGGACCTTGCACTTGGCCTTTTTGAACATGTGTCCATTTCTCAAGTTTGTCCAGGTCCCTCTGGATAGCACTCCTTCTCTCAGGCATGTCAACTGCACCACCCAGTTTGGTGTAAACTTGCTAAGGGTTTACTTGATCCCACTGTCTATGTCATTGATGAATATAGTAAACAGCACTGGTCCCAGTATGGGCCTTTGAGGGACACCACTGATCTTCCTCTGGACAACTGAGCAATTGAACACAACCCCGTGGATGCAACCACACAACCAATTCCTCATCCACCAAACTGTCCTCCCGTTAAAACTATATCTCTTCAGTTTAGGGAGAAGGATCTTGTGTGAGACTGTCAGTCCAGATAGATGACCTTCATAGCTCTTCTCCTGTCCACTGATAGAGTTACTCCAGAAGGACAGGTTGGTCAGGCAGAACTTGCTTTTGGTGAAGTCATGCTGTCTTTCTTGAATCACATCCCTGCCCTCCATGTGCCTTAGCATAACTTCTAGGAGAATCTCTTCCAAGACTTTACCAGGCACAGAGGTGAGGCTAGCACGAACAACCGTCAAAATATATACCATAGGCTTAATAACTTTTTAACGCTTTGACTTCATATTAGCAAAAGAACAGAAGTCATGCTTGTTACAGCGTCTGTCAGTGCCACCATATGCTAAAATTATTTTCTTTTTGCAAACAACTTTCTAACCACCTCAATTTTCCCTGTTTTGTACAAGGATTGTCCTGCAATAGCTTACAGTTTACCTGACCATAAACGATGATCAGAGGATTCAAGGCTATCACTGGACAGTAGCATCACAATTCATTTATACAGAGAGGGAAAAAGAAAAAATAAAGAAATTGTTCCTACACTACTAGTTTAAGTGGTTACAGTGGAAGTTTTGAGATAGTGCAAATGACACGGAAATGCTCTTTCTTCTGTTGACATCAAGGAATTGATCTTGCCTGGTAAAGCTTTCTTGTGGTAAAAGATTAGACTGATGAACATGTATTGTTGTACTGGTGGTTTGTACAACAGCATCGTGTGTGTGGTGCTTGCAGATAACCAAGACTGGTATTAAATGTAAAGTGTCTCATCTTCCAATTTTTTAATTAGTGTAATTCAGCCTTTGCTTGTTGTACTCCAGCTGATGCTAAGCGCTTAGTTCAGACTGACTGGGGTTTGCTG